TATTAGGGAGAAAAGTGCTTAAAATTCTTAAGGATTTTTGAGACATCACCAACAGTTTAGTGTTTTTACCCCATGTTGATATTGAGATTATTGTACGGTGACTTAATTTTGGGTCATATTGTTGAGGATAAGTAAATTTTTTAACTTGGCACTCTCAGGTCAGTTTTTTTCCGTGTGTGTAGGGACAGCTACTGATTACTGATCAAGGGCAGAAAAATGTATATGGGATTTTTTCACATAAACTGATGCAAAATAGTGTGTCAGATGGATGTGCTTATTTCAGTTTGGGAATTTAAAATTGGAACTACTGTATTAGGATGAGTATATAATTTGGTATATTATTGTTTCTGAACTAAATTATATGGCTCATTGAAATGAAATGCATGTGAAGGTGGAGAACTTCTAAGTAACTTGTTGATAATTTTACTCATGGTTAAAAAATATTTAATTCGTATATATTTCTTTTTAAAAAGATTTTCATGAAATGCTGAAAAGTGAGACTTAACAGTAAAACGTCATTTGCCTCAAAGATTGTGCTAGGATATAGACCTCAGGCTAACTTTTAAGTTTTGTATAAGTTCAGGTACTAGGTCGAGTCAGCAAATAGTTTGTCGCTTTCAATTTTTTAAATGTACTGTGATATTAAACTTATTTCCAGAGTATTTAAAGTTCCTTGTGAAAATTTATACAATTGGTTACCATAGTTAAAGACAATAATGTGTATTAAGCGTTTGAGGTTAATTTCACGGTCACAAACATGTTTGCAGCATTTTAAAAGGACCATTAGGGAAGGTGGAACTACAACGTTTGCACGGAGACATTCATCATTAGGTTGTCGATTGCTTTGACACAGGGTTCCAGGTTACTGTCACCATTAAAGCTGAGTGGCAAACACCTACTGAAAAAAAGGTTATAATCCTGAGCTTTCAGAGAAAATCCTGTGCGAATCCTGAGAAAAAATTGTATAAGAGCACTACACAAAAAAGGAAGTGGCTTCCAAACTTTGCATGCATGAACCGGTATGTACTGTTACATGTACAGCTGAAAGTTTGGTAGTCATGGAAATTTGCAAATTTGAACCCCACTCACATAAATAGAAGAAGCCCACTTTCTACTTTTAACTGTGTTCCAATACTATATGTTTTTACAACTTGCTAAATTGCAAATATTTCAACCTGCTTTTCATCTTTCAACAATGTAAAGTCCTTTCCTCCTTGGGCACTCAGGGTGTATGCCTTTTGGTTTGTGGATAACAAACGTGGCATTTTCATATCGAGAAAGTTGTATTCACCCAAAGCCCATTTGATCCATCGCACTTTCTACGTCCCTTCATCTCACAGTGTAATGAGTATGCTTGTAATACCTTTTCAAAACCCCGGATGAGTACTTTGGAACTGTGGAAAAACTCTTGATCCCATCATCTAAGCATTTCTGCTTGGAATCTTGCTAATTATTACTCCAAACCTGTTCCATGCCAAAAAAACAGTGGCACATTCTCTGTACTTGCTGGGGCATTTTCAACCCATTTAAAGATACAGAACTCTACTGTCTACAGTCCTTCAACATCTGGAACTGCTTGAGAAAATTATCAGGATCAGAGAGGGTGACTTGGGTTGAGACTTTTGAACACAATTTTTATTCGTCAGAAATTGGTAGCTATGGTAACTTGTTGATCATTGAGACAACAGCAGCATTCTGTAGTTGGATGTATTGTAGAAAATTTGTTGCACCCAGCAAATCTACAGTACAGGAGGGACAGCTAGATATGCCAAAAAGCCATGCTCCAAAATCAAAGTTTTTTAACTTAAAGTGTGTTTGATTCAGCTGGGTAAAAAATGCTACTTTTAAAAAAGCTGATTAGTGTACAAACATTACACATGTATGTTTGTAATGTTTTTTTACCTGAGACAAGTATACAATACAGGCTGTACATTTTGCCGTATTTGGAATCACATATCAACTTGTTTTCATCTTCAGATGATTTTAAAGAAAATGAGATGCTTGTATTTCCATGCCCTTTGTATTGTGAAACAGTTCATCAAAGCTGTCTAAATGTGACATTGACTAATCTCACCAAAGCACCATAATCTGCGTTACCATAGAACTGTCTTCGTTGGAATGCCGTTCTCCAAATTCTTTGGTAGTTAAAGACTTTTGTGCACTTCCTTGGGAGAGTTACTGGTTGGAAACAACAGGGTAAAACTTTTTTCAGAAGCTTAAGTGTGTTCCACAAATTTTGCCAACCACGGCTTGAAATATTTGCCTGCTACATAAATGAAAGGTTCCAGTGAATATACTGCAATGAAATCTTTTGAATCTACGGGTGGAAGGCCCTGTGCATCTCAAAAGGTCACTGTAGAAACCTCTTCATCACTGACTAGACATACAACTCTGGAATCTCTCACTGGAATCTGTTGTGGCCTGGTCGTTTCAACATGGGATCACAGCACTGGGGGGGGGGGTTAAAGGCAAATAAGAAATCTGCGGTCTATTAAACTAAGTGTGTACTAGCACACATACATGTACCTAACAATGTTGCTGCTTACAAGTACATGTAGTATTACTCTTGCTCATAAAGCCACAAGACAAATTGTTTCAGATGTCTACAAACATCAGGCTTGTTTCCTCGTGGGTCCCTTTAATATTCTTGGGTGGAGAGAGGCAAGTAGGGGTAAAAGTAACTTGCCCAAGGTCACAACATGTTACCAGCAGCTGGATTTGAACCCCCCTCACCCCTGTGAATGAGGATCCCAGCTATTTTAACATCAGGTCTACAGGTCTGTAAACAAATGAGCCGGTGTCTTCAGGTTTTTTAAGCTAATGCTGTTTGTAAAGCTGATGTTGTTTATTTGAAACCAAAAGCCAACCAGCCAGACTTGGCCACGTGGATGAAATGCATTATTGAGGAAAGAAACACGCGGCTGCAACACATTTTAAATATTTAGATTTTTTTTCCTTTTCCCCAGTTTCAGCTTGACTTCGCCCATCAACTAGTTACATCAGACAGTATCAATTGTCAACACAAAGATCTTGGACAGCTGTTAACGCTCATAATATATTCATTTACATGTGCCAAAAGCATCCGTAACAGCAAGGGTGCTGGTGGATTGTCTGATTTTCAAGGACAGTTTCCGTCATCACCATAAATCCATATTGGATTTTTGGGTTTTTTTTTGTTCCCACCCATTTTATATGCCAAACCTCTCGTGTAATTAACTCTCAAATCTTAGAAAGATTTAGTTTGGTTCAACTCGGAGGCTAGTCTGAAGCTGTTATTGTGCCTCAATTAGTAATCTAAAAGGTCCATTTGAATTTAACTTTGAATGTGTGTCTGTGCTTCGTCTTTGCCAAGAGCTTTAGGGCATAAAATAAACTAGCTTACTTATACCCCATCCACTCCAGCTAACTATCATAAAAGTGGTGTAGACTTGTTAACGCGACTTCTGAGTTTGTCTGGGTGTGCTTGCTGCTTTCAATCCATTAACCTGCAGTGTGAGATGATTAGGCCTATAGAGATAAACATTAGAATCTGTGTGGATAGAATTCCTGACTCGGCTAAACTTTTCCGACAGTTCATGACAAGTGTTATAGTTTCCTTTTTACAGCTTGGCCCGTCTCAACTCCGATGCCTTAGTTTCTCTTTAAAAACAGAAAAATGCACTGGACATTGGACACCATTTATCAAAAGTGCTTACTATGCAGTTTTGTAATGGTTAAATAATTTTGACTGTTCATTTTTGGTATGTATAAATTGATTTTTCACTTCAGTTTGGGATACTAAAAATAGATTGGGATTGGGATAAAAAATTAAAATGTTGCTGCAGTCGGAGAATCAGTAGAGCATATCCGGCCAAGTCATTATGTAAAAAAGCAGGTACCTGTATACAGTACATTACTGCGATCACATTCACTGAATCAGTGCTGGCTGGTACATACTATTTACACAACAAAGCATTCATCTGTCAGAGGACAAATTCTTTTATTGATGTTACTATTTATAGTTATTCTGAAATTAAAGGCTGGTTGAACTTTATCAATGTTATCGGCACTCAAGCCTTACAAAGATGGCTGCTTTTCATGCTAATGTGGTGCTTGGATGGGGGGGAATATGCAGAAGCTTCATAACTGGAAATGGCATCATGTACATGTACCGGTACATACAGGTACCTGGAAATCCAACTAAAGAGGTCCAGAGCAAGCAGCATGGAATTTAAGTATCATTTTTGGATGCCTGATGCAAAAAAAGCTCTATGAATCGTAAATTTGGGAAACGGCTGGCCTTGCGGGACCTTTCAGACAAGATGCTGTGTGTCTGGGAGATCCCCCCCGCCTGATGTCCTTCCCTTGGTCTATACTCTAGGTGAAATAGCTCTTATATGGCATACTAACGCATGTAACTACTCATATTTAACTTGATGTATTACTTATTTTTAATCTTATCGTTGTCTGGCTGGAGAAGTCAGTGTAAATTGCCCTGAGGTTAATTCAACAGAGGGCATTTGCCAAATCCATTTTATTATTATTACTAAAAAACTCAACACTCTCAGGGCCAAAGATTTTGATGGCTTTTCATGGGGTGAAGACCTTGATTTCCCACCCCCCCCAACAAAATGGGAGGGGGGTGCATGGCCCTGTCCCCCATTTATCTTTGGTAGTGGCAGATCTTTTGGCTTCAACATGGACAAGTTGCGTGTATTGTACATGTACATGTATGTCAAATAGTCACTTTGGACAGTTTAAAATTTGCTACATTCTCATTCATAAATTTTGATGAATGAAACACATGTTGACAATATACCACTACCCAAGAATCGATAACAATGCTATTGCAATTCCACAGGGTTGCCATATTTGAGAAGGTTTTCTCTCATGTCAAGGTGGTTGAGAGAAGTGGAAACATCATTTCATTGTCGTTCTGACCGACCAGTGCAAAATGGAGCAACTAACAATTTCTGTCCACTCAAGTTCCATTTTTTTTCCCCCTGTCCTCACGATTTCAGCATTGGTGGTGAGGGGCCCTTACCAGAGTCAACGTTTCCACCGGATAGCGAATCTTGGACAACAAAAAATGCCAGGTGAGTGGATTTGTTACGTCATTTACTTACTTGAACATCCATTGTATTTGTAGCCTTAAAAAATTGCGGTAGTCAACATTCTGGCGGAGTACTTCCCTGTAGCCCCTTCCTGTGATTTGAGCCAAGGTACGGAAACTTTGCCAGGTTTATTTGGCTAACTGTTGCCGTGTGATGAAGAAAGTGATCAAGCGAATAGTACTTGTACATTGTACATTTAAGTTAAATCCATTCAGCAGAGACCTCTTAGTTAATTGGATTTAAATGTTTTTTCTTTGTTGTTGAAAGATTATCATATTTGTAAGGATACATGTTTTCTGTGCATTAGGAAATACTTATAATTGCCAAAAATCGTATGAGAGAAGTCTGACATATTTTGCGTGAGCTGGGTGAGCTAGAGTACTGAAATATGATGTCGTTTTGAACCAGTGCAGACGAATGGAGTACGTGGGCATTGGTTCACGTGCTGGTTCTCACACTGATCCATGTGCGCGTGACGTATCCACTTCGGTACTCTATAGGGGCGCTTCTGTGTTTGTATGGGAAGTATTTGGGTGTATTAGATTGCATTTGGTGTCTGTAATGTTGGGGGAGGGGGAATTCTGATTTGTTGCACACATGTACATGTATAGTGCATACTGGTACTTGTTTCTGTACCTGTTACTCATTCCAATTATCCAGTGTGTGTCAGTACTTTGCTTTGCTCAATCTACAGTAGTACTGTGTTCATAAATGCCCTGGATCTTTGTGTTGTTTAAATAAGCAATGCAGAGCATGTGTATAGAATACATGTACCGGAGTACTTATACAGGTATGTATTATGGTGTTTTTGTTATGAATATCTCACTCTTCAAGATGTGTTCACAGTATGTTACAATCATTCTTGTCGAATCTGTTTCAAAATTAGGACGAAGATTGCTTTTACATGCATAATCTTAAAGATTACTATACAAAGAAATCAACATGTATACTTGTATAAATGACTTCTTGTACTGTAGATTCAAATGGACAGTGTATTTAATTTTTTTATCAAATTGAAACAAGTTTAATCCTGAAGCCATGAGGTTAAGTGACAGAAAGTTTGAACAAGGGTTGCTGGGTCCAAGCCTGGTCTAAGAAACCTCAGAGTAATCTCTGTGTATGTGTGTTTGTGTGGGAGGGGTTCAGGAACTTTAGGGTCATTGTTTCTACTGGAGGGCAGGTCCCAACTCACCTCTCTTCCCGCATACCTGCTTTACCTCGTGATCTCAGGAAGTCAGGCATAGAGGAAGAGGTTAACAGGATCCTACGCTGGAAATAGTCTGTCCAGGACCTCGGATTGTTTTCAGTTTAGTGCGGGCTTCTGAGCCACCACTCAAGGACTGAGCGTACCCTCATTTTTGGTCAGGTTTTCTTTGGGAGTATGCCAGGAGCAGTTTTCGTCATAAAAGACCTTTTGCCTGTTTCTGTTACATTTTCCTGATTTCTTCCCAAAATGACATGCGTCTCTACATAATGACACTTTCCTTTGAAATATTGGAAACCCTTGTGAAAGCCTCTTCTCGTTGCAAATAGTGGACATGAGAATTTGTGACATTGTGGCAAGTTTGCATGCCTGTGCATTGAACAAGCTTCAACATAATTTTGAAAAAGTGTGAACTGGCCTTACCACTCACGTGTCACATTGACTAAGCCAAATACAATTTTCTTGGTAAATTGGAAAACACTGTAAATGTGCTAGTATTGATTTCAGGGGATTCCCAGTAATACCTTGAGACTTTATGATGAAAAGTTGCATTTGTACACGTAGAAAATATATATATATTGTGTGCGCTTGTACATGGTGTCTTGTGGGGTACTGGAACAATGGAAGGTACCCCACAAGGCCAGTTTTGATCCTTGTGGGGTACTAAAGCGGTACCCCACAAGAATTTCACAAAATAGATACATGTATTTACTCAAAAAGGAGGAATTTTCAAGTGCCATTCATCGGTCGCAAATTGAAATGTTTTATATAAGGGACTTACGGTCGAAAATTTCCACCCAGGAAACTGAATTTGGTTGAAATGGCAGTGATTTGATTTTTTTTTTCCGTGTTGTGTGGGATTTTTGTACACGAGAACAAAGGAAATACCCCAAGTATACATATGTCAGGGTCGTGTTTGTGTTTGGGGGAGGGCGTAAGGGGTGGCAAATTAGGTAAAGTGGATCCACTGAATTACAGACAAGACATTCACAGAAACCATGCACTGAATGTACCACGGTGAATGTACAGTACTGGTATTTTGGTTCCAGCTGATTGGATTTGTATTAACCCGTAAAAAAAAAATCATTTTACACCCATGTGCCACAATAAGCGACAATGCCAATAATATGCTATTTTGAGTCTGTTGAGCGGTGTCTGTCTCACCAAGCTTGGTTGGCATCGTGTGCTGTGTACATGTATTGTACCACGTGATTTTGTGCGAAACATGTGGCGAGGGATTGATCATTCATGCATCGCATGCTGTTTGTTCCTGCAGGAGGCCAGACTTCAGTGCTCAAGAACACCGGGCCAAACATGGCTGTCCACAAAATTCATAAAAGGTTGAGTTCAAAATGGGCTATGCTCAGTTTTGTAGATAAAAGCGGAAGGAGATTCATGGACCTAGTCCTAACATGAGGAGCACTTTGTAGCAAGCACCGGAAATTGGAATGGCTCAACATTCTGAATACTGTATGTTTAATACAACCCTCCAAAACTCACCTTTCTGTATTAACATTGTTTTCATTCTTGAAAAGGGTTTTTGCTGAGGATTGTTTTCAAATTCATGAACAGAACTGTGATGTCATCCTAGGAGGAAAGCCTCATGCAATGCTACCAAAAAATCAACACACACAAAAGCTGTTAGATAGTTTGTATTTCCTTTTCTATAATGATTCATTGTTGTGTACCATAACCTCTACATGTACCTGTGCTTAACAATAAGTGAGTAAGCTACCGGGTACATGTAGTAAGCAACCGTCTCTCAGAAATGTTTTCGCCGCAAGTAAATCTTTTGAAAACAAAAGAAACGATATATATTCACACACGCATGTGTGACAACAAACTAAGAGTACATGTAACATAGCTCTATGTATTGATTGTGTTGTGCAGTGTTTACCACAATGCATGCTGGGATAGCATGGGACTCATGAATGTGGTGTGTGCTACTGTTGTAATTGCCATGAACAGGGGAAATGGCAGATGAAGGAGTACTGGTACATGTACTATTCGCTCACAAGAAGTGAAAGGTGCAATCTTACCATTTCCAGTTGTGGAAGATGGGCCCACCTACCGGTAATTCTCCCTGGAGATTTAAAATGACAGTTGCCCAAGAAGCGTTTTGTCATGGCCATAACCATACTCAAATGCTTATTACGTATTTAGCAATTTACACGTACTGTAAATTGGTGTATACATGTAAGCACTGACGACTCCTATTCTCTCCCATCGCATTGTACTGTATGCTGTGTTACATCACCATATACATGCATGGCTATTTGTTATTCACAAATTTTGCATTGTCTTTGTCTGGTCTGCGAAATGGACCAGTCTATTGAAAATCAATGTTCTTTCCAGATGTGTGCACCAGCACACTATTCGTTGATTTCTAAAATATTACTGTAGCTCTACATTTCATTGCATTTTCTTTGCGAGTTTGAATTTTAAAAAAATTCTTGAGAGCCACTCAGAGAAAAGAAAATGGAGAAAGATCTGTCGCTTTGTTCACTTGTCCGGTTGCAGTGAACCATGTCCAAGGTGAACCGGTGGAAGGGGCAGACACATGGTAGGGCCTACATTGTACATGTCGTAGCATTTTGAGAGAGATTTTTATCTAGCAGATAGATCTCCAAAATTTGAGTTGTTTTAGTGCATTGGTTTGCAGTCTTTTTTAGTGACAGAACTAAGAGCATTCCTATGAAAGTCAAAAAGCAGACAACAGGAATATTCCTATAACGTCACCGCTCCAAACCATCGCACCACAATTTTTGATAGTCCTGTACACAGTGGACAACAAACTGTCGCTGGGTTGATGGGAAATGACCACCAAAAAAATGTACATGTACCACAAATTTGAATTCAGACTTTCCAGGATGGTTGAGTTCAGGTGGCCTGTTTTTCACAGGGGTTTTGTTCTTGCACTTGAATGGTGGGCCCAAGACCTGAGAACACTGTTCTTGGAATAGGATCAAACTCCACCTTCTTGTCAGAGTTTTGCACGAACACGCAGGGGAATGCGCAGGATTTTGATTTTTGAAGAGCCGCAAAAATAGCGAGATGGCCGACAAAGCAGGAGATCATGGAAAAGTTTGGTAAACTTAATATGAATAGTTTTTCATAACACAGAGATGGATGTTCCTCTTTCAAGAGGAAAGAATGCAGCCTAGATGTCTAAACATTAACCCTTGAAATGTTACACGGACACTGCCATGTTGCTTGTTGCTTGTCTATAACTACCGCTGATAACCGGTTGTACCGGCACATTTCTAGCATTCGGGCAGCTGAACCATGGACAACAAATTGAGCTTCTCATGAACATATGACAGAATAACGCGCTGCCTGAACTCAGCACATGAGATGTACATGTAAAAATACAACCAACAAATTAAAAAACGCGCAGAATTTCACCCCGTGTTTATAATGTGCACTGTTCTGTATTAATTGTTCGTACACCCGGCAGTTCTATTACATGTGCACAATGCATCAATTTGTCATAAATTTTTACTTTCTCATATTAAGTCTGACCTCGGTTTAATGATAAATTTAGAACAGTGAATTGGACAGCTTACATGTGTTGCCAAGTGTGTGCTGGTAACTATGTGCATGTATGCTGTAACTGTGTATTACATGTATTGCCAGTTCCTGCCTTGGTTTGGACCCCCAAAAAATATTCACCCCTGGAGCGTCAGAGGAATGGTGTTCCAGCTACCCCATGTGCCGGTAACCCAATGCTACCCTACCGATTGGCTTGCCAATCATGTGGGCCACAAATCAATACCAG